TATATTTGATTCAAAGTGTTCGAGAGTGTCTCGTGGAAAATTGCGTAAGATTGTGGAAAACACGTTTGCACTTATTCTGGCAGGTTGCGCACCTGCCAATTTGTCTACTGATTATTTTTTCTGTAGATCTGATCTTTGTCTCCTCAGACCAACTTCTTAAAACCGACTTTTGTAAAAACCCTTTTCTTAAAAGGGCAACTCTGCGATCTTTCGGAGAGTATGTACATTTCTCTCCTGGGACAAAATATCCCAGTCAAAAATTTGTACATACTCCACAAAATCTGGCTAATTTGTTGCTCTTAGTATATTGTTTTAATTAAATTTTGCAACATATGTTCATGGCCTCAAAAATAAAAACCATATTTTAATATCTTCCAGATTTCAGGTGCCCTCCATGGAAGACGATTCCTACCTGTAATCAAGATTTTCCAATGGTAACATGCTGATATGATATCCTGTCAATCAGGAATTACCCACGTTTACAGGAAGACTCCTAATTTATTTTTATGTCCTCTCAAGAAAGGAAGGTGTCATACAACAATCTGAGTCCAGAAATCGTATGCTCAACATTATCTGGAGTTTTCATGTGAGACAGGACATACTGTATATGCTCCTCAGTAATAACTCCTTTTTTTCCGTGAAAAAGATGGTAATTTCTTTGATGTCAGGTCCCATTTCCATCCAGGATGAGGCATTTTCTGTGGCACTGAATGAATTAGCACTAAATTGAGGTTTCCCTTAAGATCACAATTGAGGGAGATTTGTTCCATGGAACCTTTTTGGCCCTAAATTGAGGGTTGACTGTGTTTTGAATGATGGCTTCATATCAGAACACCTGTTCTGAAGGCTAATGCAAATTATTCTCTAAATGATTTTCATGAGAGGAATTATAAGCATCATATTCCTGATGGTGGGTAATCTACTTATATTCAACAATTCTCCTATTTACGCCAGAAATAATATGAATTGATCAACCAACCAGAATAGAGATGCACTGCATTACCCCACTCAAAACTCTAAATTTTTTAAAGTTTCTTCAAATTCACCTCACGATAAGAGTGTGGGGCACAGAGAGTTTGTCCCACGTAAATCATAAAATACTTAACGCATTAAAATAAATAAATCCTAATAGAATAAAAACTTGATTGTTGGAATGCGGCAACGGGGAATTCCCTTGGACGTCCTTGCTGCCGGAAATTGCGCAATAATACCAAATCTTGTCCTTCGCAAAAATCTAACTCCCGCACTACGTACCTGTCGTTTGAAGCATTCAATTGCATTGAATTTCTGCTGTCGTGTGATTATCTTGTGAATTTTGTCGTTACATTCTATCTCCAAATATTTCAAATTCAAAATATAAATTCTCTTTATCTTTTGAGGATTCTGCCGAGAATCCTCCTGCCGTGTTCCCCGGCGGATCAAGTTGTACTTTTATTCTTGCTTCCATTTATCTCTTTGTAAACTTAGTTAGCTTACAAAGAGGTTCAACTAAAGTAACCAAACTGGATTTCAAAATCCGTGGACCATGTTTATGCTATTGAGTTGTACACAATTTTGTCATTTCATTTTTCAGGGGTTAATCCGAATGTCAAGAGAGATGATGGATGGGCTGCCATACACTTGATCACATCACGAAAGGATATTGACCCGATCCCGGTTCTCAAGACACTGAAGAGATACGAGGCAACTTTAAACCTGCAAAATTCTTCGAAGAAGACTGCACTTGACCTCGCAATTCAAAATGAGTTGCCAGAAGGGGTTATTAAGCAATTCATGACTATCATAAGTGATGGCGCAAGTGTGTGAAAGATTCGAATACAGTTGTACCCCGCGGATAATGGACGCCTTGCATTACAAACTTCTTGAAAAGAAAAGAAAAATAAACGACTTTTTGCTTCCACGAAGTTTTTTTCAGATAGTGGATCATGTTTCGGATAAGACCGTCGATTGCTCAAAATACATCCAACTTTTTAAAACGCCATTTCTAAAGAAATTGTTACCAGTGAGATGAAAAAAATTCTTGACAGTCGTGATTGCATTAAAAAAAAAGAACGCTGCTTTTCTGTAGGTAGGTTCTCAGTACTTCTATCATTTCTGTGTTGAACAAAAGAGTAAATATTTCAGAGTTTCATGACATTTCCCAAAAATATTTGTAATTCTGGGTATCTTCAAATCCCATGTTTTGCGCAGTATACTTGATGGAAATTTGGCAGACAGAAATTTGAAGAAAGGCATAAATTGTTCCAAACAGTTTTTAGAAATGCTACGATTGTGTGCATTGCTCTCCTTATGCTTGGAATAATAATGCGGAAACAGTATGTAACTTATTACAATACAAAAGCATGACTAATTGCGTACGCCTGAAGGCTTTTCAAGAAGATGAAAACCTAACCAGAATAACCTGAAGATAATCTGAAAGCTGAAAATCAAAACCAAGAAACCTTTTTTTGTGTATATTTGTTCAAAATCCGAAGTTCTTCAATTGCCATGCTCTAATCGAAGAATGTTGCCTGATATGAAGCTTGTGGACATTTATTCACCCCAGCAAACAATTACTCGGAAGAACCCATCAATAATATCCCAAAGAATTTAATCATGAATTTAATCTAGCCCTGGCTGAAGCATTGCTCTGAACACAGCAATTTCCAAACTTAAGGACAATTTATTTCCTGTGCATGGCACCATCTCACACTATTGACAGTTTAATCTGGCTAGGAATGAACCTTGGCAAAAAAAAACTCACTTCCTCCCAGGAAAACCTTTGGAGCATGCATTGCGCCAAAAAAATGGTTGGTGGGAGGGAGCTGAAAAACCTCAGAAGCTGTTGTATCATGAAACCCTGACATAAGTTGGGGGTTTTTTTTATATTAAAAAAAGCGTCGTAAGTTGAACCAACATAACATGGGCCTGTTGTAAGTCGGGGGCCCACTGTACAGTTGTACCCCGCGGATAATGGACGCCTTGCATTACAAACTTCTTGAAAAGAAAAGAAAAATAAACGACTTTTTGCTTCCACAAAGTTATTTACAGATAGTGGATCATGTTTCGGATAAGACCGTCGATTGCTCAAAATACATCCAACTTTTTAAAACGCCATTTCTAAAGAAATTGTTACCAGTGAGATGAAAAAAATTCTTGACAGTCATGATTGCATTAAAAAAAGAACGCTGCTTTTCTGTAGGTAGGTTCTCAGTATTTCTATCATTTCTGTGTTGAACAAAAGGGTAAATATTTCAGAGTTTCATGAGATTTCCAAAAAATATTTGTAATTCTGGGTATCTTCAAATCCCATGTTTTGTGCAGTATACTTGATGGAAATTTGGCAGACAGAAATTTGAAGAAAGGCTTAAATTGTTCCAAAAAGTTTTTAGAAATGCTAAGATTGTGTGCATTGCTCTCCTTATGCTTGGAATAATAATGTGGAAACAGTATGTAACTTATTACAATACAAAAGCATGACTAATTGCGTACGCCTGAAGGCTTTTCAAGAAGATGAAAACCTAACTAGAATAACCTGAAGATAATCTGAAAGCTGAAAATCAAAACCAAGAAACCTTTTTTTTTTGTGTACAGTATATTTGTTCAAAATCCGAAGTTCTTCAATTGCCATGCTCTAATGCTTCTTACAACGGACTATACTTCGAACACCTGTAAATAAGTGGGGTCGTTTGTTAATGAGCCTTCTTGGGTAGTTATTATAGGGTTTCTTAAATTAGTACTTAAATTAGATCGGGACCGACTTCGTATTATTTAGAATTTTTGGCGCATTCCCTGCATTGCAAAAAAATTCCAAATTCCTAAACTTGACAAAAATAATCACTCTACTGTTTATCTTTTGGAAGAGGAGACATGCATTTGATCCTGTTTCCAAAATTCAAATCTTATATTATCCTATAAAATGAGCTTTTCATATATAGTAATTGAAAATAATCATGTCAGTGACTGATGAATTCAACTGGAATTAGTTTGAAGATACATTCTCAAACAAAACAAGATTTGAATATCTTGTTCATTTAAATATTGTCATGGGTCCATTGGATCCCAGACAAAGGAATTGAATTGTGCAGCCATCAGAAGGCAAGTTTTGAATAAGAACTTGAACTCTTTTTCAGAGGATTTCATTCTCATTGTCCAGTTCATCAATTGGCTGTTAATTCAATATAATGGCAGAGTCAATTGTTAAATTTGTTGGTTAGCTCAGAATGTTGATTAAGGTAATTAAAGTTAAAAGGCCCTTTAACATTAGGTTCTGACTTCTTGACTTCTCCTCTCAAAGAGGAATGAGGGTGTTTATACCCAGGTGCTTGGACTGGGTCAGGAAGAAATCAGGTGATTAATTCCTGGCTCATGATTGGCCAATGAAGGAAAATTGAAGAAGTGATGACCACTTCTTGTCGAACTCACTCCGAGTGACCGGAGTCTTTATGTTGTTCAAAACCCCAGACCAAAGTTGGGTTACGGCCTCGATGCAGCGAAACCCAGGTACTGTTTATAGAACAAAACAAACTCTTACATATGAGATCGTTTCTAAAAATTCATTGTTTTGTATTTAAATGAATTTTTAAAAAACTAGAGTATAGAGGACACTTTCCAGAAAAAACTCTGCCCTTGTCTGACAACTTCACTTTGCCAAAGTAAGACACTTTTTTGTCTGTCTGGGCCACTTGCACCACTGCATGGGTCTGGCAGCACAAAATATTCATAGATATTTGTGTTCTTTGAATCAACACATACCATCATGATGAAGCTGGGATTATTTTTGTTTTATGTTCATTTCATTGTGAACCCAGAAAAAGTGGCAAGTACTTTTATACCATCACACAAAAAGTGTTAAATAACAGTAATGAAACTCTCTTCATGCGTTATGTGTTTGAATGAGATGGTGGAAAGATATTCAGGCTTAATATACACAGAGAAACACCCAATGACGATGCACAAATTTATCTCAAGTTATTCCACAGCCAGCTCAGTGGAATTATAATCCCAGCAGTGCTGTGTGTCTCATCCACACACATAAACCACAACCATGTTTCAAATCCCAGCAGTTTCAGCTGTGCTTGCACCAGTGTTGATTATTATTTTTGGGAATGAATTGGTTTGCGATGGAGCTCAAATTGGTGGGNAGGTGATTAATTCCTGGCTCATGATTGGCCAATGAAGGAAAATTGAAGAAGTGATGACCACTTCTTGTCCTTGAGTGAGGCTCACTGGCCTCAGAAATACAACAAGTTTTGGGGTCTGGTTTCAACCCAATGCCGGAGCTACGTCGCTTTGGGTCCATGACAAATATCTTGTTTTGTTTGAGAATGTATACTCTAGATTTTTAAAAATTCATTGTTTTGTATTTAAATGAATTTTTAAAAAACTAGAGTATAGAGAACACTTTCCAGAAAAAATTCTGCCCTTGTCTGACAACTTCACTTTGCCAAAGTAAGAAACTTTTTTGTCTGTCTGGGCCACTTGCACCACTGCATGGGTCTGGCAGCACAAAATATTCATAGATATTTTTGTTATTTTAATCAACACATACCATCATGATGAAGCTGGGATTATTTTTGTTTTATGTTCATTTCATTGTGAACGCAGAAAAAGTGGCAAGTACTTTTATACCATCACACAAAAAGTGTTAAATAACAGTAATGGAACTCTCTTCATTCGTTACGTGTTTGAATGAAATGGTGGAAAGATATTCAGGCTTAATATACACAGAGAAACGCCCAATGACGATGCACAAATTTATCTCAAGTTATTCCACAGCCAGCTCAGTGGAATTATAATCCCTGCAGTGCACACAGAGTAGGTGTGTGTATTTGGTGTTGGTACAAAGTTTAGGGTCGTCAAAGTCGACACGAACGTGGTCACAACTAATAATAAAAACCCTTACTTAACCAAACGCTACCTCGAGTTTAACCACCCTTGCCAGACCCAGTGGTGCAAGTGGCCCACACAGGCAAAAAAACAGTTTCTTATTTCGGCAAAGTGGAGTTGTCAGACAAAGGCAGACTTTTTGCATCTTTCAGTGGAATTGGGTATGCAAAACCCCCGATTGGGGAACTCAGGTTCAAGGTGAGGGTGTGACAACAATTTGTGAACTTGTTCCTATTGATAGAGAAAAAGCTGAAATGTCCAACATGAAGCCCAAGCAATAAATTAAAAATACTGTATTCAATCTAATTTGAGCATGAATCTTTATAAAATTTAAAAGGTTGTAATAAGTTACTATTCACTGATCAACTAATTTGTTGCAGCCACCAGCACCAATTTTAGAAGATGACCTCCCTAAAATTGTAGAAGCTACGCAAGAAAAATCTGCTTGTGTACACTATGACATGTTCAACATCCATGATGTTGTGGGATCAGAAGACTGTCTGTATCTCAACATCTTCAAGCCATACCATGTGAGACTAACATTTGAATTGCAATTTTTAATTTAAAATGGCAAGGCTTCATGTAAAAAAAATATATCAGGAGCCAGATAAGAAGTTGCCAGTAATGCTCTGGATTCATGGAGGAGCATTTGTTTGGGGTTCATCACATAGATTATTTTATGGACCCAATTATTTGATGGACAGAGACATTATTTTGGTGACTATCAACTACAGACTGGGAGCATTTGGTGAGATTAAAAATGTTGAAGGGAATGTATGAAATCTGATATGATTTAATATTGCTCCAACTTGCATGAAAAGGATTCTTGTCAACTGAAGATAAAAATTACCCTGGAAACATGGGATTGTTGGACCAATCAGCTGCTTTGAAGTGGGTCAAATCTCACATTGGGTTTTTTGGTGGAAACCCAGAGAAAATCACACTTTTTGGAGAAAGTGCTGGAGGGGCTTCAGCTCACTTTCAGATGCTCTCTCCACACAACAAAGGTAAGATAATTCATTGCAACTCCAATTATCCATGTGTTGATTGGCCCTTTATCCACTTAACAGTGTCCACATTTAATTTATTATTCAGAGGGAGAACAATTGCATGCAAATAATACAGTATTATTTAAAGACGTTTTCAATGCTGTAATTGATAATTATCATTCTGTGAACCTATTTTGCATCAGCAGGCTGAAAAACTTATCCTGCAGGTAACAGTTGGCTAACTATAGCTTATTCCTTCTGTGGGGAAAATCCCAAATTTGAAAATTCAAAATTTGATTTAAGCATGTAATTTGTCATACAATCCTAGTGCAAATGATACACCCATGAACTGATGAGAAAATTATTCCTTTCTGCATGGTACTCTAATATGTGTAAGCTTGTGTTTTGAACATTTTTTCAGCCACTGTATTCATACAGAGTATGCTTCTCTGTGACAGAAATATTTGCGTTTTTGTACTTTGTTTTCCAAGCAGTTGTGCAATTGTTAGAAAGGTCTACTTGATCTTCACTTGCAGCATTCAAAAAAGGAATTCCATTTTTTCCTGACATGTATCCTACAGTGTGATGTGCTTCTCTGGATGTGAAACTTTTTTCATATTTTTCAATATGTCCTATTTCCATATAATACTGTTAAAACATTCTGGGCTCACATAAAATGCAGCAACAAATTATTCTGATCATAGTTGATTGTCTTGCATTTTTTATATTAAATGTTCAGTGGTCTTTTGCATTCACAGAATGGATAAAATTCTTCCCCATTGAAGTCCATGGGGAAATTGAATTTGGTCAACAAACTTTTTTATGTAACCAATTAAGTTTTTTAAACCAGGGTCCACTGTACAAGCAAATGTATATATCTATTAGCTAGGATATTTGGAGTTTTTCAACCATTATATTGAATTCTTTAGGCATAATTTTGAAAATTTTCAATTCACAGGTCTCATTCATGCAGTGATTTCAGAAAGTGGTGTAGCCAATGCACCTCATGTTCTGCAACTTCATGCCTTGCAAAATGCTAGAAAACTGGCACAAGCACTCACCTGTCCACTGGATGACAAAATTGAAATGATGAAGTGTCTGCAGATTACTGATGCCAAAGACCTGGCTATTGCTGATGGATCCATGTATCAATTTTCCTTTCTGCCATTGAGATTTGTTCCCAGAATAGACATTGAGGCCAAAAATCCCTTCATTCCTGATAACCCATTGACTCTCATTCAGCAAGGGAAGTTTGAAAAAGTCCCCTGGCTCACTGGAACTACTCAGGAAGACGGATTGATGTTCACTTATGGTAGAGTCTTATTTGCTCATAATCATAATCCTCCATTATTGACAGGTTTATAATTTTTTCAGGTGCCTTTGTCAGTGAAATTATGAGAAATGACCTCAGGAGAGATTGGGAATCACATCACAAGTTTTTGTACCTCATTGGCTTCAATTTAGAGGACAGTGACAAGATTTGGCCCATGATTGAGGCTCATTATTTTGATGGTCCTTGGGGCACTTTGGAGAGTGTGTTTGACCTCACGAGGGTAATTCAAACAGCTCATTGATCCTTCAATTATTTTTCATTAACTTATTTTTCCATGGGCAAGAAAAATTTAAACATGGAACAGAAAATAAACGCCTTACAGTTCTAAGCATATCCTAAGAAATGCAGTAATGTGGGGAAGTAATGCTAGATTATCTAAACTAACTGCACTAGAACCAACTCCTTAAACATAACACATGCTGTTCTTCTAAAATAAAATTCAGTTTAGAGTACTTTCATCATATTCAAAAGACTTAGAACAAACAGCTTTTCTGCTGGTCCTTAGAAGTTTTTTTGCAGTCTGGGGGAAATTTTCTTCAGCACAATAAATTTATCAAAATTAGTTACAAAGTCTGTCACCTTTATCTGACATATTTCTGACAACGCCACTAGAAATTATTGAACCTAGCAGAGGAAAATTAGATGCTTCTGACAAATGTTCCTGTTCTAAAATGAATTATTTCTAATTTTCAATTCTGAAAAACTTTCCTTCAAGCTCACCTTTCCAACTTTTTGAAGATATTCCACTAAATCTGGTTCATTGGTTCTTAACTTTGTTTTTCCAAAGAAGCAGAAACTTTTAAAATACCTGACATGAAGTGTTTCAAACAAAAAATTCTTGTCTGCACACATTTTATGAAACTTGGCCAGTGTGCAGAAGTTTTTGTGTGTGGAAGTTTGCCAGTCCATGGGAACAAAAAAGGTTGTGGAACACTGCTTAAAACTACTGTAGAGTAAAATCTCCTCACAACAAATAATCAATTAAAGCCAATTTGTTTTAAGGTCCCTGATGTCCAATGCCTACAATAATGTTAATTGACTTTGCCTATTTCATTCATCCCTATGGCTTCATTGTCATGAAATTTACGGTATTCTGAATAAGTATACTGTACATGCATTTTATAGAGTATGACAGACTACTGGTTCAAATCACCAGCTCAAGAAGCAGCTGAAGAAGTTTCAAAACACTCTCCAGTTTATCTTTATGACATGGATCATGGCACTGATAAAAGCTGGACCAAGACAGAGACTCTTCACGTGCCTGGAATCAAAGTAGACAAGAAGGACATGGAAAGGCATTGGGGTAATAAATACTTTACATTTTATTCCAATAATTTTAAATCAAAACAAATTGTTCGCACGTTTGTCAACAGGAACCGGTCATGGAGATGAACTCCAGTTCTTCTTCAAATGGGAAGGCGTGAAAGGCGTTTCCGACGACAACAACGAAGCTGACATGGAAATGAAAGAGATCTTTTTGGATTACTTCACGAACTTTGCGACCTTCGGGTATTTAAATTGGTCACATGCAGTATTATTTTATGATTACTGTGTTTATTTATTCGTCAGTATTTTTTCAAAGCTTGAGCCAAATTTTGACTTTTTCACAGGTCTCCAAACAATCCAAGCTTTCCAAAACACCGCTTAAACTGGCCAAATTTCAAATGGAATTCCACAGCGAGTAACATTTTCGTTTTCAACCCGAACCCACGACTGGTTCCCGAATTGCTAACCAGCAAATCCCACGAGTTCTGGAAGAACCTTCGCAAAATCCATGGGATCAAACCATCTCACGGAAGATTTTATTCCAACAACAACGAACTCTGAATAATAAAGACGGTATTCGAAAAATTTTAATAAGGTTTTTCGCGGGAGGAACAAAAAATATATACGAGAAAATAAATTCCGTTGCTTTCGCTCCTTGGGGATCCGATTTCCTTGCCGTTGGAAGGAAGGGGAAGGAATGAATAAATTGTCTTAATCGGTTTAATCGCTTTGATTTTTTTTGTTTTCAACCCACTAAATTCTTTCTCCCAGTCGCCATGGCTGCTGCTGGTGGCGGATTAGTGAGAGTTCTTTTGGCCTTAGCCGTCCTCGGCAGCTTTGTGGACGGACAGGTACAAATACTTCCAGAGATTCATTTTCTAAACAGAATCAATCAATCAATTCTGGATTATTTTGACAGTTTTTAATAACTTGAGAATATCTACAAATACAGTACTGTATACGGAACGAAATTTACTGCGGCAGCAAAACATTTATGTGATGCGATTCCAAGCACACTGTCGAAACTGGCGACATCTAGGAAACAAACTATACCTCAAACAGTCCAAGTTGCTAAATGTAATCAGTAGATGTCCTAAGTTCCACTTGCGCGCATCGCGGTCGACTTTTTCTCAAAATTTCCTTTCCTGAAACATCGATAGGCATGTGTTACATTCTAGTAATGCGAAATAAAACTGCAAGGACAAGGAGTAAATTGTGCCAAAAAGCTAGTTTTTGATTCGATACTGCCAAGTTCGTCTTAAAATAAACGCGGCTTTTGAAGAAGTATAAAAACGTTGTGATAATTTATTTTAGATCAAGGATCTGTCGGAACCCCCCATGATTGCTGGCCTTCAAGTAGAACCCGCATTGAGGGGTTACGGCCCGCCAGTGATGCCAATGCCAGCTCCAGTTGTGCCCATGGATCCCTACAGAGTGGCCCAATGGCCAGGGTTTGATACCCCAGAACAGCCTCAGATCCCTGAGCAAATGCCACAACAAAGACAATTGCCTCCTCCGCCATCTTCAGGTTCCATGCCGGGTCCAAGCAGTGAGAAGGAAAATTCAGTATTATGAGTGAAGGATGAAAGATTTAAAATTAAATTTATTCGTTTTACTTGGTCATCTGAACAGGAATAAGAGGGTACCTGCTCAACAAAATTAAAATTCCTTCCACTATTCCAGGATTAATTTTTGCTATATGCAAGATTTTTGCAATATTAAATGCTATTCACATAATATATCCCTAAAGGTTGCATTATGTGAATGAATCAATTGATCCATTCTTGAGATCTAAGCACAATGTAAAAAATATTTTTTCCTCTGAATAAGAAGGTCTCCCAAGAATGCCAAGATCCACGTTTAAAGTTTACACCATCACTTACATACTCATTCTTATTCACTTTCTTGCTTTTATGTAGTCAGGTGATCACATTTTATCATTTTTGGTAATCAATGTTATTTATGTATGCAGTAAACTAATGTTACTCCCAAATGGGGAGGAGTTCTGGAGAAAAAGTAGGTGTGTCTCAATTGAGGGTGTGTAGTGATATACTGTAATACTCAAGTGCAGTACTTTACTGTGCTTAGAAAAGGAAAACATGCAAAGAATGTAGTAATGTATTCTCATATTGTGGCTCAGTGTAAGACTTGTATCATAATAGTAAACATCCTGTATATTTCAAAGGCAAATAATTTGCAAAATTCAGGGCATTTTTGTTTTGCTTTTCAATTACAAAATAAATTTTATTATTTAAAAAATTTGTTCGTGGGTATTTTGTAGAGAAGGACCAGGGACCCATTTTATATGTTTCCTTCACAGTTATCAGCCATTCAAAATTGAATATTTTATTTTTATTTCTTAATTCTTAATGCTTCATATTATTTTTATCTAATTATTTTTAGATTCTGGAGGAAGTTTCGGATGGTCCCAACAGTCCCCAGTAATGCTTCCACCTTCATCAAACCAAGACCCCTGGGATGAACCACCTCAAAACCTAGTGGGCTACATTCCAAGGGTTGTCAGACCTGCTTCTCCAGGAATTCCTTTGACATATTCTTATGGAGGAGCAGCACCCATGAGCGGGGTTGTGTACTCCAAGGATGCCCAAGTACGGAACACCCTTTTTAAAATTTAATTACGAAAATCTGGGAATGTTATTCAGGAATTTAAATCAGAAATTTAGGCACGAAGGAGCTGATGACGATGAATTCGACGATAATGCAGCTGCTGACAACTATGGACTTTTGGAAAGATCAGCTTCAGAAAAGGTGATCTTTGAAGATTTTTCAAGGAACAATTACATAAATTTAAATTTAAAACCTCCAATTTTTTTATTGACGGCGAATTTAAATCAAGTTATTTCAAAGGATTGCCAATTTCATTTTCTCGGCCCACATTTAAAATTCAGTTTTCAAATTCACTGTCGAAAAAAATATCAAATCCGAGTTTAAGATTGTTTTTACTAAATACGCCGTAAACTTTTGAACGACTCTTATTGACTTGATTTTGAATTTTGAAGGACTTGGAGAATTTTGCGTCGAGTTGATTTTCGTGCCTTGCGACGAATAAAAATTACCAAGATTATGAATTCTTTCAAGAAGGTTATCAAATTTTCCAGTAGCGATCGAAATTTATTTCAAAATCGCTCCTCGTATTTTATACTGGTGTTGAAAATTTTCGGTTAAATTGAAAGATAGTGACATAACCATTGCACATAGTTCAAAAAGTCTATACAGTATTATTCATTTGATGTCACAGCAGCTGCAAAATTTCAAATTATTCCCGCAGTTTAACATTAATAAAAAAATCTGATCGCAATAAATTCATATTAAATTTGACTGGAAACCGTAATCGTTTAATCGAATCTATATTTCAAAGGACTGGAGGAATTCTGCGAAACCTGGATACAAGAAATCCGCTTCGGTAAGTGCTTCATTTTAAACAAAATTGAAAGTACTCAAACCTTTCTTTTTTATCTCTTCGTTAGTCCGAAGAATTCGAACTTCCGTACGAACTACCATCAGACATCGATGCCTATTCACCGAGAGTCGACCCTTTCTTGCCAACACCCATGGATTTCCGTAGCAAATCTCTCGCAGGATCAGAACTCCGTTGAGTACCTGTATTCACACGTTTATACAAACTTAACTCAAGACATTCTTTCTTAAATTTTGATTAATTATTGTTCAAAACAGTGAAAAACCCGATGCCGAAGGGCAGCAAATCCTTGAACTGCTACAAATGCGGGTACGCGTGCAACTCGAGGATCGGAGTGCCTGTGATTTGCAACAGTCCTTTGGAGCAATGTGCGACTTTCTATGACCCACAAACACTAGGTTGGTATCCCTTCAAACATCATGTTTTTTTCATCTTTTGTACTGTATTAAGAAAAGACATTTTTAAAATTGACACGAGTCTGACGAATTGGCAGAGGTGAAAAGCCGGGCTTGTCGCTTGGGACCAACTGGCTGCTTTGTGTCGGATGACGGAAAATACGGCTGCCAATGTTCAACATATTTGTGCAATAATTACAAAATGTTTAAACGAATCGTTGGCAAACCATCGAAAAGCTAGGATCATCGCAAAACATTTTTTTTTGTGCAAGCAGTTCAGCAGAGGAGAAAGGAGAGAAATTTATTCGAGGTGAGATGAATTTCCCGCGCGAAAAATACACGTTCCACTGTATTTATTCGTCACTAAAGTAAATTCTTCAGCATTGCACCTTGTCGCAAAAAGTATTCCCGAGTTGGCATTTTAGCTTCGGAAAGAACAAATGAAACAATTGATGAATTTTTCTAATCGCAATAAGGCAAGATGCAATGCTGACTTGGGAACGCTTTTTTTGCGCGGGGCTTCATCGACCGACACCTAGGATTCGATTTCGAAGCATAACATTTAATGTTTACTAGATGTCGCTATGCGCAAATTCTCCGAATATTCTACAAATTCGAAGCAGCCACAGACATTTCCCAGGATAAAAATCGGATTGAGCTCGTTTGGTGTTTGCAATTTACTGCAAAAATAATATAGCACAAAAATTACTCATTTCATTCTTTCCGATCAAAACCAATTTTTAATACAGCTCTTTTCAACTTCAAATTGACAGCAATTTATATTTCTGAACAAATCATAAGACGCATTCAGTTGATTTCACTGTGCTATATTATTTATTTTCAATAAAATAAAATACGTACATTTTCAATTTGGTGTAAGCTTCGAAGGCTTTAATTTAAAATAAAGTTTTTGCACCGAAAAAAGAAACATTTCAATTCGTAAAAAATGAATCAGATTGANATTTATTTTCAATAAAATAAAATACGTACATTTTCAATTTGGTGTAAGCTTCGAAGGCTTTAATTTAAAATAAAGTTTTTGCACCGAAAAAAGAAACATTTCAATTCGTAAAAAATGAATCAGATTGAAGAATTTTCCCCAAATTTCTCAGACGTGACTGCGAGAGGCTGCAAAATCAACGGTGAACCAGGCTGCTTTTTAACTGAAGATGGTGTTTATGGTTGTACTTGTAAATCCCAGCTTTGCAACGACTTCAAAATGTACAAGGTAACTGGGAGAATTTTCAATGAACTGTTCGAGCCGTCTTCCAAGGGTGGCAAAAAAAGGTGAGCGTTCATCGTCAATATACCAAGAATAAATCAAGTTTTCAACAAAATGTAAATTTTAGATAATTTTTTTTCTATAGCGACACTTGAGGAATAACGGACCATTTGCGCATGAGCATTTTTATGGGTTCTTGGTCCAATATTCACGAACCGACGAAGTGTAATTAATTAGTCATGCATAGAAATCTCTGCATTAATTTTTACTTTTTTCTCTGCACTCGAAAAATTCTGCTTTCACTGCCGAACGCTGATGAATATGATTAGGTAGTTCTTTTGCTCAGGTAACTCGTAATTTTTTAGAAAACTGCTCCAGGGAAGGTTTCAAATCATTGAAGCTTCCCAATCATCTTTCTGTTCTTTCACACAATTAATCTTAAGGTCAGAGCATAAGGAAACAAATTTATAAAAAATATCAAATTTATTCTACATATTCGAATTTTGTAAAAAATTTGATTTGTTATGAAAGTACTGTACCTTTGAGCTTTAGCCTTCATTTAGGCTCCACAGCAAAGAGAACCACTTTCTACAAATTTATAATGAACATTTTAAGGCTGATTTTTTTGTAAAACATTGCATTTATGAGCGTATACTGTATAGAACCTTCTTTCTACAGAAACTTACTAATTTTGAAACTATTTGTGGAACTCTTCACAATTTGTCACAAATAACCCAAGTGTTATCCAATGAGTTGACTTCCAAATAAAGTAACATACATTTATTCAAATGCAACAGTAGACACACTTTTTAAATACAAAATTAAGAGAGGAGGGTACCCCAGCAAATAATGGGGGTGTTGGGCTGTGCAATGTTGAGGAAATTGCCTGCCAATGGGTTCTGCAATGCATTCTATCAATGGTTGGGATTTTGAGCCAAGCATGCACCCAAGTGGGCATACAAATGTTGAAAATGTGAAAATTTTACATGTTTGTCCAGAATGTTTTTATGTCCAATGTACAGTATTGAAATTTTTCATCTAATGGAAATAGCACGTCTGCCTTACGTGGGGATAAGTTTTTAGTTTATGCTGAAAATTTGGCACATATGTCTTACTCAAGGGCAAGTGGTACTCAAGTGAATATGGTAACCTTTATACAAGAATGGTCACAGTTCTACATATAAACTGCTGAATTTTTTAGTGTATGTGTGATTTGAAAAAAAACATAGCCCATGATGTTCTAATGTTCTGGGATTTTTTTCCAGATTTTATAAAAAAAAAATAATGTACTGCTTGATAAGTGAAAACTTCCCAGTTATAGCCAGAGTTCTCCACCCATGTCACAGGTCATTCAAAATTTCTCAGGCTAGCTAAAAAGTGTAATTTTTCAGTTTTTCAATTAATTTTTTGGCTTTTTCAATCTGCTGGCCAGAGAAATTTTAGCAGGCTTGAGTTGAAAAGGTTTAAATGTTCTGTAATGCAATTCGATTTTTTGTTCGCATTTCAGAGTGGACCAGGAAACCTGTGACCCTTGCACCAAGGGTTGCAACAAACCCTGCCCACCCCCAGTTGTGCCAACTCCCCCGGGCCCAGAAACCTG